TCATAGAGTGCCTATGTGAATAGAAGTGTTCATACAATAAAAACATCTCAGGTCATATAACATCATAAAATCATAAAAAACTCTAAAAATCTGAACTTAAATAGTGAATATAAATAGTCCGTGGCACTACAGGTCACAGAAGTGCCAAGTGATACGTGTGTGCTTTTTAGCAATATTAGTGGATCCCTGCTGATTTGAATGTTTAACATAAAAAACAGTGCAGCGCTGAGGATATGAATAATAAATCTGAAATAAGTCCACTGCAAGTCCAGTTCATAGAAACATGTCAGGTGACAAGTGGAAATTCAATGTTGGTGATCCGTGAGGAAGTGGCTGAAATACGCACTCACCAGAAAGAAGATATATATAAGCAGTATATATCAAAAGCCCATGGATCCTCAATCCAGAAGGAACAAAGCTGGTCTGGTCACAGAAAGTGGGTCCCTCCTTTATGGATGCAGCAACAGATCTTCTCCTCCCAGTTTGGTATTGGATTCCAAAGTCAGGGTTCTGCAAACAAAGTGCTCCTCAAAGGGAGTCAGGGAAGGACGCCCATAGTGTAGTAAGTTATGAATTAAAACAGCTTTATTAGGAGAACAAAAAGCATCTATTTCAAAATTTGGCAGGTATCATCAAGATGTGTCAGCAAGACAACTAACCCTGACACTTAGAATGATGGCCGTCGGGCCTCCACGTGGCTCCGGCGGCGTAGCGTCTCGACGTCCAGGCTCCTCCTTACGCGTTACGTGCGCACGCACATCTTCAGAGGTATGGAGCCAGACTTACTACACTATGGGCGTCCTTCCCTGACTCCCTTTGAGGAGCACTTTGTTTGCAGAATCCTGACTTTGGAATCCAATACCAAACTGGGAGGAGGAAGATCTTTTGCTGCATCCTTAAAGGATGGACCCACTTACTGTGACCAGACCAGCTTTGTTCCTTCTGGATTGAGGATCCATGGGCTTTTGATATATACTGCTTATATATATCTTCTTTCTGGTGAGTGCGTATTTCAGCTACTTCCTCACGGATCACCAACATTGAATTTCCACTTGTCACCTGACATGTTTCTATGAACTGGACTTGCAGTGGACTTATTCGGATTTATTATTCATATCTTCAGCGCTGCACTGTTTTTTATGTTATTCTGTATAAGTATATATCGGTTGCTTAGAGTGCTCAGCTGCTGTTTAGGACCAGCGCTCACTGTTTTTTCCTCTTAGATTTTGAAATGTTTGCCCACTCACAAAGAAATGATCAGTCTAAAAATCGAATGTTCGGTGTAATGTAACACTGAGAGACAGAATAGCAACAAAAAATTCAAAAAGAAATGCATGTCTAACAAATGATGCACTGATTTGCATGTTCATGAGGGAAATAAGTATTTGATCCCCTATCATTCAGCAGGATTTCTGGCTACCAGGTGTTTTTCATTCAGGTAACAAAGTGAGATTAACCACTTGAGCCCCAGAGGATTTACCCCCTTAATGACCAGGCCTTTTTTTGCTGTTTGGCGCTGCACTAATTCAAATGATAATTGCGCGGTCATGCAATGCTATACCCAAACGAAATTTACGTCCTTTTTGTCACACTAATAGAGCTTTCTTTTGGTGGGTATTTGATCACCTGTGCGCTATAAAACAAAAAAAACCACAAAAATTTTGAAAAAAAAAAAACATTATTTTCTACTTTCAGCTATAAAAAATATATCGTAAACTCAAAGTTAGTCATAAATTTAAGCCAAAATGTATTTTGCTACATGTTTTTGGTAAAAAAAATCCAATAAGTGTGTATTGATTGCTTTGTGTGAAAGTTATAGCGTCTACAAACTATGGTATAGATACTGTAATTTATGCCTTTTTTTGCTATACAGCGCTGCACTAACTCAAATGATAATTGCGCGGTCATGCAATGCTGCACCCAAACGAAAATTACGTCCTTTTTTTCACACAAATAGAGCTTTCTTTTGGTGGTATTTGTTTACCTGTGCGCTTTTTATTTTTTGCGCTATAAACAAAAAAAACCACAAAAATTTTGAAAAAAAAAACAATATTTTCTACTTTCAGCTATAAAAAATATATCGTAAACTCAAAGTTAGTCATAAATTTAAGCCAAAATGTATTCTGCTACATGTTTTTGGGTAAAAAAAAAAATATCCCGTGCATTAGTGGGCAAAACTGGCGCTATCTAGGAGGGGCGCTAACACTATCGGAAGTCACCAGTGACACTAATACAGTGATCAGTAAAAATCTGTTCACTGTAATCAATGACACTGGTGACAGGGCAGTGAAGGGGTTAACTGGGGGGGGGGTGATCAAGGGGTTAAACGGGATTACTGGTGTACTGGCGGGCAATCTGGCGCTATCTGGGAGGGGCGCTAACACTATCGGAAGTCGCCAGCGACACTGATACAGTGATCAGTAAAAATTGGTTCACTGATCAGTGACACTGGTGACAGGGCAGTGAAGGGGTTAACTGGGGGGGGGGGTGATCAAGGGGTTAAACGGGATTACTGGTGTACTGGCGGGCAATCTGGCGCTATCTGGGAGGGGCGCTAACTCTATCGGAAGTCGCCAGCGACACTGATACAGTGATCAGTAAAAATTGGTTCACTGATCAGTGACACTGGTGACAGGGCAGTGCAGGGGTTAACTGGGGGGGGGGCGATCAAGGGGTTAAACGGGATTACTGGTGTACTGGCGGGCAAACTGGCGCTATCTGGGAGGGGCGCTAACTCTATCGGAAGTCGCCAGCGACACTGATACAGTGATCAGTAAAAATTGGTTCACTGATCAGTGACACTGGGTGACAGGGCAGTGAAGGGGTTAACTGGAGGGGGGGGGCGATCAAGGGGTTTTAAACGGGATTACTGGTGTACTGGCGGGCAATCTGGCGCTATCTGGGAGGGGCGCTAACTCTATCGGAAGTCGCCAGCGACACTGATCAGTAAAAATCGCTTCACTGATCAGTAACACTGGTGACAGGGCAGTGAAGGGTTAACTGGAGGGGGGGGGGGGGGGCGATCAGGGGGTTAAATGTGTTCTAACTGTAGTGTAGTGCTTGTGTACTCACTTTTTGGATGTCTTCTTCTCTGTCTGGAACGGAATGTGTCCCAGGCAGAGAAGAATGACATCATATCCTGCCCTGTGTATGTCAACACAGGACAGGATAGGACAGGGACCGATCATGTGATTTCAGCCAGAAATCACTGGCTGAAATCTAATGATTGATCCCTCCTGGATCAAATAGTGTCACCGCGGGTCGGCGGGAGCGCGCGCGCGCGCGCGCCCCCTGCCGGCGAAAGTGTCGGGGAGCGCGGGAACCCGTTTTTAAACGTGGTTTTTGCGCTCCACTGCCGCCCTGCACACGTATATACACAGTGGCAGGGCGGCAAGCGGTTAGAAGCAGTCTCTTAAAGGGAGTGTTGCTATCTCATTTTGTCACCTGTATAAAAGACACCTGTCCACAGGAGCAATCAAACAATCAGATTCCAAACTCTCCACCATGGCAAAGACCAAAGAGCTGTCAGGGACAAGATTGTAGACCTACACAAGGCTGGACTGGGCTACCAAACTATCAACAAGCAGCTTGATGAGAAGGTGACAACAGTTGGTGCAATCATTCGCAAATGGAAGAAACACAAAACAACTGTCAGTCTCCCTAGGTCTGGTGCACCTTCACTGTACATAGTCCGTGGCACTACAGGTCATAGCAATGCCCGGTGATCGTGGAACTACAAGGTGGAGCAAAACCAGCTGGGGATGCTCGAGAGCGCTCATGATCCAACATGGGAATCCACCACCTTCTATGGATGTGCACTCACCAGACCGCTACTTGTATATTAGCATTAATGCTGATCCTTATGGGGGGGGGGGGGGTCTCAGGAAGCCATAAATAGGGACTGGACTTCTCCAGGGTCAGGTCTATGCATGACCAGCCAAGGATCCTCCTAGGGGGAGAAGCTCACCACAGGAGCTGAAGGTATGGCAATCTAGTGTAGTATTTATTGTAAATAGTTCAAAGTAATCCATGTGGATACAGCAAAGAGTTAAATGCATAAAAGCATACCAAGATGGCCACCGCTCGATCTCCGGCTGCGGCGGCGTGGACGTCAGCACGTAAGGCTCACCCAATGCATTTCGTGCGCATGCACGTCTTCAGGGGCACGCATTACTGCACATAATGAGTTTGCATCAAAAAGCTCAGAAACTCCTTACTCCCAAGACCAGATACAGTTTAAGGGGAACTCCAACTCTTCCCCTTAACATGGACAAAAACCATAAACCATCAGCAGTTGGTTCAAGCAGCCTGGAAGTCACACGTGATCATCCACTGTAGCTGTGATGACATACCGGTAGGTGGGGGAGGCTGGGATCCCTCAACTCTGGGACAACTCAGCATTTCTTAGGTGCTGATCTTGTATACAGAGGGAGGTCTTTTATATTGTGTGAAATCTTTCCTCAACAACACTCTACCCAATCCTAATATCTACACCTCAAAATATTGATTAAATAAATAATATAGTGAATGCAGAGTCCAGGGGAGACCAGATATAGTGAAATGCAGGGTCCAGGGGAGACCAGATATAGTGAATGCAGGGTCCGGGGAAACTGGATATAGTGAATGCAGGGTCCAGGGGAGACCAGATATAGTGAATGTAGAGTCCGGGGAGACCGGATATGGTGAATGCAGGGTCCAGGGAGACCGGATATAGTGAATGCAGGGTCCGGGGAGACTGGATATAGTGAATGCAGGGTACGGGGAGACCAGATATAGTGAATGCGGGTCCGGGGAGACCAGATATAGTGAATGCGGGTCTGGGGAGAGCAGATATAGTGAATGCAGGGTCCGGGGAGACCAGATATAGTGAATACAGGGTCCGGGGAGACCGGATATAGTGAATGCAGGGTCCGGGCGGGGAGACCAGATATAGTGAATGCAGGGTCTGAGGAGACCAGATATAGTGAATGCAGGGTCCGGGGAGACCAGATATAGTGAATTCAGGGTCCGGGGAGACCAGATATAGTGAATGCAGGGTCCGAGGAGAGCCAGATATAGTGAATGCAGGGTCTGGGGAGACCAGATATAGTGAATGCAGGGTCCGGGGAGACCAGATATAGTGAATGCAGGGTCCGGGGAGACCAGATATAGGGAATGCAGGGTCCGGGGAGAGCAGATATAGTGAATGCAGGGCCTGGGGAGACCGAGATATAGTGAATGCAGGGTCCGGGGAAACCAGATATAGTGAATGCAGGGTCGGGGAGACCAGATATAGTGAATGCAGGGTCCGGGGAGAGCAGATATAGTGAATGCAGGGTATGGGGAGAGCAGATATAGTGAATGCAGGGCCTGAGGAGACCAGATATAGTGAATACAGGGTCCGGGGTTTAGTAACACTTTAGAAGTGACTGTCTTAGTTGAAAGTCCTCAGTTGAAAGTCCTCAGTTGAAAGTCCTCAGTTGAAAGTCCTCAGTCCTTACTGCAACATAAAACAAAACACAAGACGCTAGTTCCATGGTTTCACCTAGAAAATGAAATGAGCACACACATGGAAAAAAGGAATCCAGCTATTAAGCTCCTTGTTGAAAACAAACAGATGGGGCTTTGTTTGTGCTCATTATAGAGAGGGTTCATTGCGGTGATTATTATATTCCGCACTCGGTCACATGAAACAGCTTAATATATAAAAAGAAACATTTAATCGTTCATCTCTTGGGTTGGAGGAATAGCAGCTGCTGGAATTGCTCTGTTTTTGCTGTTCTCACTCGATATCTTTTAGATTTCCCAGGAGACGAGGTGCTAGGAGCAGGGATGGCTCAGGGACCGGACTTACTAGAGGAAGAAGTGCTTTGGAGTTTCAGGAACACTTGATTAAAGGATATGTATGGCCTAGCTGAATGACTATGTATCATAAATAATTGCTATTTTTAAAACAAGACAGTGTTACCTATTATTTTAGTACCTTCTTGTATCCCAGTGGTGCTGATCTTCTGCAGCCTCTTTGCAGCCACTTGCTGTTCGTTTGCACTCCAGCGATGTATGCATGTGATTTCTAAAGGTAGTTTCCTGAGTTTCCTGATGCTGACAACCAGGGGCGGACTGACAACTCATGGGGCCCCCTGGCAATAAGGGGATCATGGGGCCCCTGTGTCCTTGCCCAAACTCAAAAAAGCCTATGAAAAAGGTACCAGGGGCATCTCATGGGGCCCCCTACTTGCCCCGGGCCCTCGGGCAGTGCCCGAGTTTCCAAATGGTCAGTCCGCCCCTGCTGACAACAGTGGGCCAGGTTGTTCTGGAACAGCCAGTCTCCATTAAAAGCCTATGTGACAGGGTGACAATGCTGGAGCACGACTGGGAGACAGGAATAGAGTGTTGTCACCTTATAACAGGAAATGCATGAACAAGGACCTTCATGGCAGGATCACCCACTATTATTTTAGATTAAAGTTGTGGATTTATAAACTTTGAAAAATGACTTTTAAAATTGCATGAACACGTTGATGCCTGTATGGGGTTTTAGTGGATGAGTGTACATCTACCTTACCTGTCACCTAAAATTGACAATAAAATGTAGGCAACACATGCCTTCAGTTGTTTTTCCCTATGTGATGTAATTTGCATATTTCAGTCCAAGGGCTGGTCCATCCAATTTCTGCTTCCTGACCCTTCTTAATGGCAATTGTGGCCCACAGCTATGATGAATGGCCTGGTAGATGTAGATGCCTGGTAAACCCTTCATGTACATTAAGCTGTCCTCTTCAACTTCCTAGGAGTTCCAGGTCCCAGGCCATTCTTGTTTGCAAATTTTGGAACTTTCCTGCTGTGTTGAGGGTTGGCAAAGGTTGGGCCATCACTACAATGGGTGGTTTTACTGGCCATTATGAAGGTGCGGAGGCTAAGAAAAACAAAGATAAAATGTGAGTTCAGCAAATCTTTTATGCACAAGGCAGAAGCTTGTAAGAAGGTCCCACATCAAAAGACCTCTCCAGGTCAAACTGAGAGACAACCAACCAGATCCTTTTATTTTACAATCTGTCATCCAGTAATATCCTTATTTACTGTCAACATTAAAGCTCCTAAGAAGGGGGAGCGTTGTGCCTCTGAAATTCATAGGATTTTCTGTAGTGTGCAATAAAGATTTAATTGACTTACAGTTTATCTTTGGTGCTCGTATCCTTCGTGCCTTCTTAATGGGCAGTAAGGCCATCTATTGTAGTGGTGGGCCAATCTTCATCAGCACTGAGGTATTAAAATCTCCTGGAACCTGGAACTCCTGGGGAGTCGGAGAAAACAGTTTAATGTATGTGTTGCGTCTACCAGATGACTACATTTTGCCCATACAGGCAGCATCTAAGTTGTAATGAGGGGGGATGTATTGTGCCCCTGAAATGTAGAATTTGTTGTGACCATCTGTGGTTTGCAGTAAAGATTTATTGGACTCACATGTTATCTTTGGTGCTCGTATCCTTCTCACCTTCCTAATGGCCAGTAAGTAATGGCCATCAAACTGGTGGGCCAACATTTGCCAACCCTCACCATTTCAGTATCAAAATATGCATGCAAGAGCGACCTGGAACCTAGAACTCCTGGGGAGTTGGGGGAAAACAGCTTAATGTATGTGTAGGGTATATCAGGTACTTATATTTTACCTATGGAGGCAGCATCCAAGCCCAAAACACAGAATTTATTGTGACTTTCTGTTGCGCGCAGTAAAATTTACTGGACTCACATATAACTTTGGTGCTCTTTTCTTCTCACCTTCCTGATGGCCAGTAAGGCCATCTATCATAGGCAACCTTCACCAACCCTCAACAATGAAGTATTAAACTTTGCAAACAAGAGCGACTTGGGACCTGGAACTCCAGGGGAGTCTGAGAAAACAGCTTAACATATGTGTAGGGTCTACTAGACGCCTACATTTTACCTATATGGGCAGCATCTAACCTTTGATGAAGGAGGAGTGTTGTGCCTCCAAAATGTAGGATTTCTTTGTGACCTTCTGTTGTGTGCAGTAAAGATTTACTGGACTCACAGTTTGTCTTTGGTGCTCTTATCCTTCTCACCTTCCTAATACCCAGTAAGGCCATCCATCATAGTGGTGGGCCAACCTTCACCAGCCCTCTACACTGCAGTATCAAAATTTGCAAACAAGAGTTACCTGGGACCTGGAACTCCTGGCGAATTGGAGAAAACAGCTTGATGTATGTGTAGGGTCTACAAAACACATTATTTTTCCCATGCAGGGCACATCCGAAACAATGTGGCTATTCTTACGGCCTGTGCAATAAATATTTAGTGGACTCACATTATATTTTTAGTTCTCTTATCCATCCCATCTTCTTAATGGCCAGTAAAGCCACCCTTCGTAGTGGTGGCCCAACCTTCGTTAACCCTCAACATTGTAACATGGTATCAAAATTTGCATACAAGAGCAAACTGGGACCTGGAAATCTTGGGAAGTTGGAGAGGATGATTTAATGTATGTGAAGGGTCTACCAAACATCTAAATTTTTCCCATACAGGACTTTTAGAATTTTTCCAGAATTTATAGTGATGTCTCATGTCACACACAAGTTCTGCAAAATAGGAAGATTAGGGCATCCAAACTTTTCATGTTGTAAAGAGTCAGGTTAATTAAAATTGATAGTTTATAGTGGAACATTTGGAAGACAGGGACAGAGCATTGTCACCCCATAACAAGAAATACTTGAAAAAATACCTTCTTGGTGGGTGATCCCCAGAGATTCTTTTAGTGATTTGGCACATCAACTAAAATAACACTTTTGAGTGTACTGACACTGTAGCCTCCCTGGCGGTATTCCCGAGTGTAGCTCGGGGTAAAGTTTCAGTACCAAAAGCGGTAACCCAGAGCTACACTCGGGCTTACCATGCGGCGCTGCTCCGGCATCTGTTCTTTACTTACCTTGTACCTGCGCTCCCGCGATGTCCCTCCTGCAGTGTCCCCGGCAATGTAATCCGGCAGATGCCGGCATCTGTTTTCTGGGTTCCGTCCCCTGCGAGCGTCGGGACGTACGGGGGACGGAACGGTGGGAAATTTGAAAATGACAAAAAGTGACATTCACTAAATTCACTAAAATACATAGTATAAACATTACTGTGTCAAACCATTTCACATACATTTTGTCCCGAGTGCTTTGTCCGGCGCCCTGCCTGTATTTTTACTGTTCTTTCTGCCTGGAAACTGAGAAACATCCATGGTGTCCAAAAAGTGTCCCTTTAGGTCAAAAGCGGTTTTAGACCGGCTGGAGAACAGCGATAGGAAATCAGAACCACTTACAGAATTGAGTGATAATGATTTGTGGGGAAATTCATCATCAGACACTGAAAACGATTTTGCAACTTTGCTCAGCGATGTGCGAACTTGGCGCTCTATTTCAAATTTCAGTGTTTTTGGTTTGATTATATTATTGAATTAAATGTATTATTATATTATTATTTTTTTATGATTATTTATTAAATTATAATTTATGATTTCGTGTTTCAAATTTTATCCTACCCGGGATGTTTACTAGACTCTTGTTCGGACAGATTTCAGTGAGTTATTCTTAAAAATTACAGGCCTACAATAAAAAAAAATACATATTTCCATGCAAAAAAATTTACCGCTTTGAGCACAGAAATATGAACATAATCAGACCGCTAGGGAGGTTATTAATGGGTATTTGTCTGATTTTATTTGTTATGTGTGTTTTGCGTTTGAAAATCTGCTAAACTTTTTGTGCACTGGACCATTGCAAGTAAAATCTGTCTGTGCTGAATCTCTGTGTGCAGTAGGAGGAATAACCCCGGGATGACCCATCCATTTCAGTATCTGTTCTTGAGCTAATTATGACCCATCTGTTCATCATTCACTTCATTCAATGCTGTAGGCATCTGCCCTCTTCCAAGTCTTTGTCTCATCATTCATGGTTTGTCATTTCCATAGCCCAGCCATGTTCTTCCCGCAGACAAGTCGCTCATATGGGTTTGTTGCTCACAAACAGTCATGAGGTCTTGTTATTCAAAGCTGGAAGAATTGTACATGTTAAAGCTGAAGCTTAATCTGCTTATATTTTGCCTTCCCTAGTCCCCCCTCCCCCTCCTCATCAGCATGCTAATAACATTTTTAAATAGAACCTTTCTGTTTTCATTGCATACCTTATTTTAGACCCATTGATGTCATCATTGGGTCTCTGTGCAATGAAAGCAGATCATGGCTGGTGTGAGGGGCCAGCAGGGGGCTGTACAGAAAATATCACAGTATTCCTACTGTATTAGGAGCCCTGACCACCTCTCTATGGTTCCGTCCTGTAATCCCTACATTACTGCTCTGTCCTGTAGTGACGTTGGGGTCAGAGGATGGGACCAAGTGAATGGTGGGGGATACAAATGGGACATGGTCTTCTTTTGAGTTATTATTATTTAATTTTTTTTACATGGACCTATTTTTTGGCAACTTTAAATATATGTAACAAAAATGGAAATTCT